AGCTTCGGCGTAGAGCTGCGGGGTGATCTCAGTATAACGATAAGCTATCGGTGGTAATGGCGCGGGTGCATCTAAGAGCTGTGGCATTAACCGTTTCGGTGCCTCTCTCCTCCTCTGTGCTAAGGTCAGATGCTTCCATCGGTCGCGAGGAAGAGGAGCAGAGTCGGGACCTGCTGAGTGCTGATCTGCTTGTGCTCCGGACCATGGACTCATTGAGGGCGTCCCAGGTGTGAAAATGTACAGCAGTAACCGGGAGTTAGTGATTGACTTTGTTTCCTACAAGCTCTCGCAGAAAGGCTACAGCTGGAGCCAGCTGGAGGAGGAGGATGAGAACAGGACTGACTTTGCCGGGGAGGAGGACGAGATGGACGGGGTCCTCAACGGGAGCCCCTCCTGGCACGCGGCCTCCAGCCACATAGTGAACGGAGCCACGGTGCACCAGAGCAGCCTGGAGGTGCACGAGATCCGTCGAGCGGCCGACGTGAGGCAGGCGCTGAGAGAGGCGGGGGATGAGTTTGAGCTGAGGTACCGGCGGGCGTTCAGCGACCTCACTTCCCAGCTCCACATCACTCCCAGCACGGCGTATCAGAGCTTTGAGCAGGTAGTGAACGAACTGTTCCGCGACGGAGTGAACTGGGGCCGCATCGTGGCTTTCTTCTCCTTCGGAGGAGCCCTGTGCGTGGAGAGCGTTGTTAAGGAGATGCGGGTATTGGTGAAACGCATCGTGTCCTGGATGACCACCTACTTGACCGACCACTTAGACCCCTGGATCCAGGAGAATGGCGGATGGGTAAGAACACCTCTCTGTGCTGGGGTGGCTGCCCGTGCCCTCCCTCGCTCCAGGCTGGCAGCGGGGCCGGTCGAACCGGAGCACAGCTCCCTGCAGTGTTTGTGCTAGCTTGTCCTGCCCCTTGCAGGGAGGATAAAGGGTGTGTGGTCTTGCCTTCTGTGATCTTAACACTGTCCCTCCCAAGAGGGCTGCCCACTGTGTTGACACAGTTTGTGCTCAGATATGTCTTTCTCCATCCTTGCTTTTTGTCCTCCCTGGATGTTATGTAAAAGACCTGTTTTTCTAAGAGCCTTTGGAAATCTAATGTCATCCAAGCTTGTTCTTCCAGCAGAGCTCTGGCTCTGGGGCTTGTTCCCGGTGTCATTAATAGCAGGGAGTGGAGCTTCCTCCTCTCCAAGGCAGTGTTGTGGTGGGCTGGCTGGTGGTTTGCCGAGGTAGCAGCTACTTCTTCATTCTGAAAGCAGCTTTTGCCTTGCTCATGGTGAAGTGAATCCCACAGCAGGTCCTGGAGGGTGGGTGGGCTTCTGGGACTGTCTGAGCTGATGTGGTGGGAGCCAGAGCTGAGGTGGAGGCAACCTCTGTGCTGGGGAGCTGCTAAGCCTGCAGCTGCTTTTCCCTTGGCAGGGAGCAGTGCTCCCAGCTGCCCCAGCAGCAAACCCTGGGAGCTCTCAGTGGTGAGGTATTAACATGAATAAGCATTTCTTCAGGAAGCATTCTTGAAATGCCGGGTCCGGCTGTGCGGTGCAGCCTGGGACTGCCGGCGGGAGGTATATGACCTACAGATGTCTGAGTTTTCATTTGGCTTCTGCATCTTAGTGATTCCCTGCTGGTGTAACCTTTACCGGTTCCCACTGGAAAGAGTTCATGCTGTCAGGCATTGGCATCTAAACAGCGGGGAATTGCCTCCTTGCTGGGAGCTGAGGCCTCTCAGCCCCCTTCAGCTCGCGGTCCATTGGCAGAGCCCAGCAATTTGGGAAGGGGACAGGAGCCTTTGAGCCCAACGCTGTGCTCTGCACCCTCCTTGCAGAGAAGAGGCTCTCCCCGGGTCCCCGTGCCTGGCCAGCACTGCTGGGGACCCTGGAGAAGAAGGGGAGCTGGTGCACCCAAGGGGAGGGAGCTGGTTCAGGAAGGGTGAAAGAATTCCAGGAATGTGACCGCCCTGGGGCACTGCCTGGGTGGGGCTCCTCAGGCAAGGAGAGGAGCTTGGTTTCGATTAATAGCCTGGGATCTGCTGGCCATTTCATCTGGCTCTGTGGCCCATTAGCTCTCTCATCCTGCAGATAACCCGGGCCAAATACAGAGTTCCTTCCCCCTCCCTATGCTTTTGGCTTTTAGAGCCACAGATTAGTTTTGGAATTAAGTGATCAAACTGAGGTTTCCAAGCTAGTGTGGCTGTTGCTGTTAGTGACGGATTGGGCTGTATCCTGGAGACCTAGGCGATAATGCAATCTGATTTTTTGTAAATGAACTCTCTGGGGGATTTAGATTAAATCACTGGTGGAAAATCACTGGTCCCTGCTTGTGGGGAATCAAACACCTCCTCCCTCTGTTCCCCACCCCCAACCATCACGATTCAGACTCTTCAATTTTTTTGTGTCTGTCTCTAAATTAATTGTTTGGAACAAATATTTGTTCAACAGATTGCGGAAGGGTCAGGACTCCTCTCTATCTGACCCGCCCACCAGCTCTCTCTTTGTAAAATGCCGTTTCCCACTCAGGGACCGCCTTGCTCTCTTGTTCTAACCTTGAACCGGGCTTTTAACTTCCCTGCCCAGGCTGTGCTGCTGCCTGGGCTGTGCTGGGAGCTGAATGGAAGCCAGGCAGGGTGGTGAAGGCCGGAGTGTGGGGAGTCCACACCACCAGCCACCAAAAAACCAGTGCTGGGCAGTGCTGCTGCCAGCCTGCTGCAAACCCTGAGTGCTCATTTGACATGTTGGCTGTAGCTTCCACTCAGCTTTCATCATGTTCCTTCCTGTAGGAAGCCATGCCACTCCACACCAAGGGACAGAGGCCATAAGAGCTGCTGAGTGCCTCACGTGTGGGATATGCCTGGGGATGCTTTGCTTTCCTTCGCTCTCGCCATTCCAGCTGCGGGGAGAAAGCCTCTGGCCTTCTGCCAGCTCTCCCTGCAAGAGGAGTGCCACCCTGCCCTGGCTGTGATGGAGCCATCCCTCTCCTGTTTGCACAGGGAGTCTGTTTGGTGCGTTGGAGCTGTTAGAGCCTGTCCCATTTCAAACAAAGCACTCCCGAGGTGCAGCAGGCAGGTCCTGGTGAGAGAGATGCAAGTTCTGGCAGGCCTGCTTGGCAGGGCCCAGGTGGTTTGTGTTTTGGAGCACTGCAGCACTTCTCTTCCTGGAAAGCCCCTCTAAAAGAGGGAAGGAGCATGGCTCCATAACAAGAGCTGCACAGCCCAGTTGTGTTGGAAGCTCTGTTTCATTCCCCACCAGTGGAACAAAGGCAGCAGAGGAGGGCCTGGGGTGCAGGTGCCATTGGAGGCTGCTGTGTGCTGGGCTGTAGCAGTTCTCTTGAGAAATCAAGTTTTGAGGCAAGGGGAAATAGTAAATCTTGCTCCATAACATTAACATAGAAGTGTTTTGTCACATTTACTGGCTCTGCCTTGGTTTGCCCTCTGCTCTGCAATCTGGCACTGGGAAAACAAGCAAACAAGAGCAACCCAAGGGGAACATTTAATAACCAGCCAGAAGAGAGCTGCTGCCTTGGCAAGCTGTCACATCCAAAAAGGAGGCTTTCCTGGGCCAGTTGCTTTGACCAGGACCAGGTCCCACTAGCTGTGAAGGTGAAATGGTGGTGCCAGCAGGGATTGGGAGTTGTGGAGGGAGAAATCTGGTGAGTGGGAAGGAAGGAGGGGGAAGCACAGGGTGAACAGGAGAGAGCCTGGCAGGCAGAGATGTACTGACCGTGCCTAATCTGTTTGAGAAAGGAAAGTGAGCAGTAGTTCCTGCCTGGCTGTGACCCTCCAGTGCATGACAGCTTTTCCTTCAAGGCTAAATCCACATTCAGAGTGGGATTTAAGGAGGGTTTTCTGGATGAGCTGGGGTTAGATCTGTGGATATAGAGTCAGGAGGTTTGTGGGGCATATGGTCAGGACCCACATGAAGGGGCTGCATCAGGCTAGAACTGAAAGCAAATAGCATCTTTAGCACCAATCAGTGATATGTGAATCCCAACAAACTGTGCTAGGCTGATGGAGAATGAGCTACTTCCTGTGATGGCTCAGAGCTTCCTGGGTTCTCAGTTGACCCTGGTCACACAGGACTTGGTGTGCTAGGACATGTGTTGTCACCCTGCAGAGGACTAAAAGCTTGTGATTCTCTTTGGGGAAAACCCTTTGAACATGTCAATATAGCAAGCTCATTTTTATCTTTTAAATTTTTTTTTCTGAATGATAGGAAATGACTCAGCCTGTGTCATATGACAGCACACAGCTGGGATTTCATCCTGTGCTCTGGCTCCAGGCTCCTCAATGGTTTCAGGTTGAGAGTTAGACTTTGATTCTCGGCTCTTTGAAAATGCTTTTTGGCCTTGTGTCCCAGGTATGCTGCACAAGCTGTCCCTGCCACTACCACAGTTCCTGGGAGTGTGTGGTTTGCCAGAGTTGTGCCCTTCTGAGTGTTACAGGCTGGGTTTTGGGGATACCCTGGCGCTTCTAATCCTGTTTGAGATAACAGCCATTCGTTCCACGTGGTGGTCAACGTGCAGCAGAACTGACTCACTGGAAATGACTGAGCATAGCCAAGACTGTGCTTTGCTGTCTTGAAGATGAATCCTATGGCTTCATCTTAGTCTGAGAGAATTGGGTTTGTTCAGCCTGGAGAAGAGAGGGATTCCTGCTAGTGCTTAAAGAGGCTCCAGCAGAGGTGGAGGGGGACTTTGGACAAGGGCATGGAGTGGTAGGACAAGGGGGAATTCCTCCCCACTGACAGAGGGCAGAGTTAGATTGGCTGTTAGGAAGGTTCTCTGCCCTGTGAGGTTTATGAGACACTGGCACAGGTTGCCCAACGAAGCTGTGGCTGTCCCATCCCTGGAAGTGTTCACAGTAAGGTTGGATGGGGCTTTGAGCAGCCTGGTCTGGGTGCTCAGCTGTGCTGTTGCTTTGCACTTTGTCCTCAGTAATTATTTTACAGCCTTGATCCCTTGCAGCTGAGACGATGACCCCATTGTCATCACCTGCATGGGGTGAAAAAAATCCTGTCCTCCTGCCAGTGGGGTTCCCCATGTCCCTTCACAGTCCTGGGTATTCCTCCCTGGCTGTGGGAGGTGCCAGCCGTGCCCTGACTCAGGCTGTCCTGCCTGGAGCAACCAGCCCAGGTAGCTGTATCCTCACTGACAGCTGGAGATCTGGGCTCAGCGTGCAGATCCCTGGCAGCTCCTCAGCCAGCCTTCGACCTGGGAGGCTTTTCTGCAGCGCTCTCCAGGAAATGCCATTGGAATGACTTCCACTGCAGCTTCCTGCCCGGCCCACAGCAGCATTCCTGCCGCTAGACCAAGAGCAGTGCAGAGGCTGATTTCAGAGCTTTGCTCTTTACCCCCTTTACTGGTTCTCCTTCTTTGGGGCCCTGCCTGTTTTCCTTGCTGCCTCTCGGTGTGTGGTGCAGTTTGATTACGTTCCTTAGATCTGTGATTACAGCAGGCGCCTGGAAAGCCAAACTCCTGCCTGTGGCTCAGAGCAGCCCACTTAACCCCGGGGTCTTTGAGCGAGAGGGATAGCATTTCCTTCACTCCCAGGGGAGCCACTGGCAACTCTGATTCGTAAAGCACTCCGAGGCTCTTTAATCCGAAGAGCTGAGTGTCATTTAAAAAAAGACCTGTGAAATAATTAACAAACTGTTTCTTGCTGCTCTGTGTTCACAGCTGCTCTCAGTAATGTCATTCCGCCTGCTCATCCTGCTCCTCTCTGACGCTGGAACCGTGTCCCTGGAGCGCTGCCCGGGGTCTCTCTCTGCTTCAGCAGCAGTGGGGTGTCCCAGCACAGCAGAAAGGGTGGGTGGGAGCTCTCTTTTCCCCAGTGGAAGCTGCAGCTTTCTGTGTGTGCCTGATTCCGTGGAGCTCTGGTATGGTTTGTGTACGTGGTTCCCCCCAGGAGCAGCAACACGCCTGCAGCACACACTGGGTGCAGCTGAATGGTGTTGTGGTGCTCTGAGACCTTGGCTGAAGCTGAGAAGGTTTGGTTTCCTCTGGTTTTTACCAAGCAGCTGATGGCTGTAAGCAGAGTCCCATCTTGACGTTACAAGGAGTGTTTCTCTAGCAGCTCTTTCCCCACTAGCTGTAAAGCCAGAGTATTCCCGGGAGGAGCTGGGGGAAGGGAAGGGATGGATATCAGTTGTAGAAGTGTTGCAGACCTGCTGAACTGAGAGGCGAGGGATTAATGGTGGCTTCTGCTGTGGGAGCAGAAGGGGGCTGGGGGCAGCTGCTGTGTCCCCTCTGGGGACCCCAGGGCAGCCGGGATGTTGACCTACCTGCTGATTCAGAGAGAAGGTATTCACTGAGGGTGGCTCTGCCTTGCGGTGGCAGGAGAGCAGCCACTGTCCTCCACCCTCTGCTCTCCCGCTCCACCCTCCCACAAGGGAGGGATGTTGCCCTTAAACACTATTGTTCTGAGCCACTAAAGATTAACGCAGAGAGTGGAGACATGAAAGGGAAGCAGAGTCCCTCAGTGCCAGGGCATTCCTGGCTTTATTGCCCTGACCTTGGGCAGGGAGGCTTCCTCCTCCCTGCTCCTCACCTGGAAGGATGTGCGGGAGGGCTTCTTGGTGCCAGATCTCTCTGAAGTCCAGCTCCTAATCATTCCTGAGATGCCAAGGGCTCAAGTTAGGGAACATGCATTCCAGAGGCGTGGGAGAGCTTCTCCCACAGTGCACCCATGGAGGGGGGCAGTGGGGCAGGCGCAGGGCACGGGCTGGCACCCATGGTGGTCAGGTGGGGAGAAGGGTTTCTGTGCCACAGCAGAACGAGGGTGCCGAGGGCTGCTGGGAGGCAGAGCCGTTAGCAGATGGCTCCAGCTGGGCTCACCGGAGAGCAGGTGTGGGTTTCGGGAGCAGCCTTTTAAGAGAGATGTCAGTTTTGAACCCAGGAGGCTCAAGGGGCTGAGCCGTGGCTGCCACAACTCACATGCTGGGGAGCTGTGACCTAGTTGTGCTGTAGAAATGCTCGGTTTATTTTTTATTTTTAGGTATTTTGCTTATTTTATCCTCATCTTTAATTTAGTTAGCAAAAAAAAAAAAGAATTGGAGGGCTGAGCAGTGCTGGGAAGGACTGCCTGCAGGCGGGAACGCCCGCTGCAGCTCGGTGCAGGCAGCATCTCTCCAGCCGCCCGTGTCTTCTCTCGGACACGTGCTCACGTGTACCAGCCCAGTGCTGTCTCCCAGGATCTCTTTAATGGGAAACCCAGTGCACTCAGCGCTGCTGCCTGCCTCAGGGAGGGAGGGAGGGAGGAGCGGGATTTGAGCGTTAACCAGAGAGGCTCCCGTGGCCACAGGGACTGTTTGAGTGTTGTGCTGTAACTGGTCTGCCTTTCCTCCGCTGCTGGGAGCAGGAAGCTGGGGGAGCTTGGTGTTTCAGGGGGCTTTGGGCTGGTTACTTTTTCGACTGCTGCTTGGCTCTGCACTGGCACAGCAGGCCCAGGGAAGGGTAATGGGCTGTATCTGCAAAGAGGGAAGTTTCAGGGGGTTGTGTGATTCCCTCGGGGAGAGCTGTTTGAATTTATTGCATTATCCTCCTTCCTGCTCAAGCTTGTGTTTCAGCTGTGTCTGCAGACGTAGCTGCTGATTTAAGTAGATCCAATTAGTAGCTGGCTGCTGGCATCAGTATCCTGCTTGGGGAGATGAGCCCTGGAGATGAGGAGCCTCCAGTGGGAGCAGGGCTGGGCTCAGCCTTTCAGCCCCCCATTCCTGATCCAGGATGGACCCAGTCCCCCAGCTCACAGCCCTGCACCTGAGCTCAGAGGGAAACCGAGGCAGGTGTCCTGCTCCGTGCTCTGCCTGGCCAAGAACAAAGAGCAGGCAGGTTCTGCCTGCCTGTACCACTGCCAGACAGGTGCTCTTAAGAGTGAAATCAAATACTCCAAAACGTGACAAGCTGGCAGCAGGCAGGGCTTGGAGCAGGAGCTGGAGCTGTTCACCCAGGGACTGTGCAAGGGGCCTATGGGCAGAGCCATGCAGTGACCTGGCTCCTGGGGTAGGATTCCAAAGGGAGCTGCTGGAGCTGGCTGCCTCCTGAAGGAGCATGGAAGGGTTTTCATCTCTGCTGGAGGATGAAAGGTTCTTTGTGAAGCTCAGAGAAGAGGTCTAGGCTATCATGGAGCTGGTTTGGTTTGAATGCAGCTGGTGCCATGATCAGGTGGAGCAGGACAGCTGGCTGCATTGCTTCTCTGACCAGTTCCAGTTCCATATGCCCATCTCTCTGGTTTGTGCCACCATGGAACTGTGGAAGATTGGGGACACTGCCTGTGTTGTGCAGGGAGCACGTCTGGTGGCAGTATGTGGCATTGCTCTCTGTGTGTGACTTGTGGTGAGCTGGCTCAGGGTTTGGGCTGGGATGTGGGTGCTGGGTGTGTGTGTGGCCCTGGGTAGTGCCTGGGTGACATATGACTTCTACATGGAGAAAATGAGGTGTTGCTACCTGTAAATCATGGAGTGTTGCGTGTTGTAAGTGCCTTCATTCTGTACTTGTATGGCTCACCAGTGTATTAAACTTGCTGGAGAGCTAATGTCTTTTAATAGAGCAACTGACCTCATTTAGAAGCTTCCAGTGCACCAGCCAGTGATTATTTCATGCAACAACATGCATGGAGGAGCCCAGGGCAGAGCACAAAGTCTCCTTCTCATGCTGCACTGCTCTCTCTCATGTTTGCTGCATCAGCTGCCTACTGTGCTTCCTGCCCTCAAGTCAGCAAGGATTTTGCTAAAAGGGACTTCGTGGCTTGAATAATTTGAGATTTCATGGAACTAACAGGAAGTGAAAACAGAATGAGCACATCTTCCTCCTCTTCCTGCACCTCCACCCTTTCCCCTTTTTCATTCAAGTGGCATGTAAGAATTACAGCAGCCTCGTGAGGTGCCGGGGCTGAAGTGGGAAGTGGTGAAGCTTGGCTGTCTCTCCTCCAGGATGCTGGTGGGTGAGTGGCTGAGGCAGGAGAACCTGGCAGCTCTTCTCCAGGATCTGTTCTGGGAACCATCCCTGCACCCAGCCTGGCTCCCTTGAGCCCTGCTAACGCCAGCATTCCCTGTGGGGCGGGTTTGGTGAGGCTCACGGTGCGGGTGAGGACCAGAAAGAGCTGTCAGCATTGCCCACTCTCCCCTGGCAGGAGGGAACGTGGCTCGGCAGCCGGGCACACGTGAGCATGGCACATCTCCCCGGCACAGGTTTCCCCACGGTTACACAAGGGCACGATTGCACAGGAGCTCTGACGTCCAGGAAGAGCAATGACAAGGTGAAAATTGAGCTCTGTTCCCCGGGTGCCAGTGGCCCTGCTGAGGTGCTGTCCGGCACAGCGAGCTGGCCACGGCCCTCTGCTCCCCCCAGATAACCGGGACATGAAAGCAGGAGCCTTCCCTGCCCCCCGAGCGAGCCCCTCGCACAAAGGCTGCTCTGCTCGGGGCTCAGACACCATCTGTCCGGTGGGGAGAAGCATCACAGAGACCGTCTTTCCTCGGACTATTCCACTTAATGCCCTTTGGAAAACAATCCCATTCCCAGCAGGTGCTAATCTCTTGAGTGGATCCGGCTCAGCCAATGTGTTCTTCGCTGTGCCTTTGTACCAGAGCCGTGTGTCTCCTGCCATCCTCGCAGGCCCTGCCGAGCAGCCCGCTGCTGGCCAGGGCTGTGGCACCTTCGGGAGCCCTCAGCCTGGTTAGCTCTGGGAGGAACACTGATGAAAGATGGATGCAAATGGATTAGTCATTCACATCGTCTCCGGCTTTAATACACATGAATGTTTCAGCAGATTTCTGGAACGGAGAGCGCAATTCCCTGCTCTCCATCTCGTGCTGTGCACAGCAGTCTCCCGGGGCAGGGACGGGGGTTACAGCTGTCACCGTAGCCTCTTTCATGTATTTGGAAAACGCTGAAATTGTGCTGAATGGTGTGGGGTTATTGCAGGTTCCCTGGAGCCGGTGATGAAACCAGTTTGACAGAAGGCTGCCGCGGCAAGGATTAGGGCTGGAATGTGCTAGTGAGGGTTTGTTTCTGGTTAGAAAAGAGCTGGCTCTGGCCTGGGCTAGGCTGGAGCCCTGCAGGTCTGTTGGGCTTTGGCCCAAGGGGCAGCTTCCCTGCTGGACCCCCAAGCTACAGTCCCACAGCAAAGCCCGAGTGAGAAGAGAAAGAAGAGGGGGTGTTCTTATTTAATTGACTCTTTTGAATTTATGGCTGCCTCCTTCCCAGTTGCAGGTTTCAATGAATGCCCTGGGATTTGGGGAGGGCCAGCACCCCAGGGTCCACAACACCCCGGCACCAGCTCCAAGGGCAGGAAAGGCAGGAGGGGCAGTGGGTGGGTGGCATTCCCTGCCATTGTCATGGAGATCAGCAGCTGCTTCCCTGGAGGTCACCATTTGCATAACAGTTAGAGCTGAGTCTCTGGAGTATTTGCACCTGCAGCTGCTGTCCCCAGAGCCCCTTCCTCTCTCTGTGTCCCAGAGCCCCTTCCATACCCCAGTCTGAGCCTGCCTGGGGTTGCTGGTGGGGACCAGTGGGGTGAAGCTGCAGATCTTCTTGTACCCATGGAAGGGGGATTGGAATTAAATGATTTTTAAAGTCCCCTCCAACCATTCTAGGATCTGCTTCTTTGGGGAAGGTCAGACCTGCCTTGGATGGCAGGTTCCCTTGCCATGCTCCTGAGTCAGGTGCTCACCTTGACCTCCACTGCCCAGCACTGCAGGCAGTCCTGCAACCTCTGCAGTCACACTGTGTCCCTGCTGCCCTCCTTTCAGGGCTGGGAGTGGGGGGCCACATGTGGATACAGCATCAGGGGGAGCAGGGCAGAGGGAGAACCTCTAGGATGTCTCTTCCATTCATATCACAAAGGGACCCACAGAGCCGTGTTTACAGGATCCCTGTGGCAGCCTTTGGGAATACTTATGTTTTCTTTTATTCTTAAAGCTCTCAGCTGCCTTTTCTCCCCTGTGCTTCACCTCCAGGTTCGCATATGCCAGCCCCATGTGGTGAGCTGGCAGCCCAAAGGGGCTCTGGGAGCAGGTTGCTGTCGATGCAGGGCTTTGTTGTGGTCTGTGCTGAGCTGCTGCCTTTCTTTTCCCCTCCTTGTCTTGCTGCTCAGCACAAAACTGTTCCCAGCATCTCATTAACAAATGTCTGGTCATCCAGATGACTCTGCCCCCGGCCGGTGGCTGCTGTTAGACCTCTGAGCAGGAACACAGCTGCACTTACGGTGAAGGTAAAACAGAAACAGCCTTGTTTTCAAGGGAAACATTGCCTCGTGATGAGAATGCCTGGGTTGGGAGTCAGATGCTGTGGCTCATGCTGCTGGCTCGCTCACAGCTCTGGGAAAGGCACTTAACCTCCCCATGGCTCTGCTGATCCATCTGGGAACAATGCTGCCTTATCCCAGGGAGGTTCTGGGGAACCAGATCATTTCTGCTAAATCACATCAGGGTCCTGGGGTTTTGGAAAGGCTGTTGTGCATGCTGAGGTGGGTGCTGGGGGTCTCTGTCTCCCTGGGCTGGCTGGGTATCAGAGCCATGGGGAAGCTCCAGAGCTCCTGCTGGAGTCCAGGTCTCTGTGTCAAAGTTTCACCTGGATACTCCCAGTAGAGCCTGGCTCTTCTCTGCTGGTTTTCAGAGCTTTGTCCTGGTATCTCAGTGACCTCCACCCCCTTGTGCAGGGCAAGCTTTGAGCCCCAAACTGCCAGAGCCCTCCCCTCTCTGCTCTCCTGCCTCACCAGAGGCCAGATGGGAGTTTATTGCCCACATCTGCTTCCTTCACCTGCCCTCATGGCTCAGTGTCACCGAATCCTCTTTCCCCAAGTGCTGGGGCTTATCTTGAAAGAGGAACCTGCTCTGCTCTGCTCACCCTGAATGGGATCCAGCAACTGTTCTCCCTCCCGCGCGGGCAGCACTGGTGAATGAAACCAACCAAACAAATGAGAGCCTCACATTTTAGGTGTTCCCCTTTCCAGGCTAGGATGTGAGTAGTGTCTCAGCCAGAAGTCGTGCTTCTTATTCTGCTCTCCCACCTGAGACAGAGCACTTCAGGTCAGACCTGCTCCTCTTGCCTTTGTGCACAGGGTTGTGTGTGTGTGCACTGGGCAGTGTTTAAATGGCTGCTGCATCCCCCACAGTGCTGGGTTGCAGTTTGGGGCTCTGTGAGTGTCCAGAGAACTTTTGGCCCTGCAGAACCTCCCTGCCCCAGCTCTGTGGGGTGGTGGAGCCTGACTCTCCAGGGTCTCTACCTCCTGCAGCAGGAGGGAAGCTTGCCCTGCCCCAGCTCCTCCAGAAAGTGATGTTTTAGGCTCCAACAAGAAAATGTGGATTCCTTCCCCAGCTCTGGAGGGGAGAGGCAGGGGATTGCCCCTTGCATAGGAATAAGATCTCAGCTTCCTCATTGCCTGCTCTGGAGCATCCTCCTCTCAGATGTGGGGTGGGGAAGGGGATGTGACGGGCTTCTGATGGAACAGTGTGTCCTCTCTGGAAGAGGCCCACGGATTGAGACATTGAAACACTGACGTGCTGTTGCTACCACAGTCCTTGTGATCAGCTCAGGAATTCCAAATATTTCCTCTCAGATAAAGGTGACTGGGGGAGGCCAGAAATATCTGGACGTGTCTGGGCAAGTCTGAGATCCAAACACCGGGCCAGAGAGGTCAGGATCAGTCCTGGGAGTGCTGGGCTTCAGGTGCAGAGCGGCCGAGGCCCGGGATGGTGTGGGAACAGAGCAAGCTGCCTTTCCCTAACCTTCAACCCACCCCCAGCATGGGCAGGGAGGACATTTCTGCCTGTTTTCCCACTCCCTCTGGTCTGGGAGCTGGTTCCCAGGGGACACATCTGGGATCAAAGTTGTGCAGAGGCTGAGCTATCACAGCTCCTAGGGTGGTTTCCCCAGGGAAGGGCAAGGCACTCCAGCAGCTGCTGCTCCCTTCCCGAGGGAAGGAGAGGGGCTCACGTCCTCTCCCTGCCTGTGCTGGGCTCTGGCTGTGCTCCTCTCTGCCTGTAGCACCCGATAGCTCTGCGTTCACTGTGTGCCATTTATCTCTCCTTCAGCAAACACTTCCTTTTCTTGGAAGCAAGGGCTTCTTGGAACTGCCTTTCCCCAAAGGCAGCACATGCCATGGAAAAAGCAGCATGGAGAACCGGCTGCCAGCCCTCCTTGGCTCCCTGCCCTGCCGGGGGGGCCTCTCCTGCTGCCTGCCCCACGGAGAGGCTGGGTGGATGTGTGGCCCTGTCCCCACTGCAGCACAGTGGGGACGTCCCTTCCGTGGGTCAGGAGGAGCCTCTGGAGATGTGTGGGACTCTCAGTGGGGCAGGTCCTGCTGAGGCCCTGAGGAAAGCAGATCTTCTGGGGAATACATCGCAAGGATGGAGCTGCCTTCCTCCAGCAGAGCGTGCTGCAGCCTCGGGTGCTGTGAGCAAGTGGCTGGGATGTGTGTCCAAGGGAAGGACCATCCCTGGAGCGAGGGCCCTGGCACTGGGAGATCAAAACACATGCTGAGTTGGAAGGGACCCACGAGAATCATCAAGTCCAACTCCTGGCCCTGCACAGGACAGCCCAGCAAGCCCAGCATGTGCCTGAGAGTGTGGTCCAAACACTCCTTGAACTCTGCTTCAGGCTTAGTGCCCTGACCATTGCCCTGGGGAGCTGGTTCCAATGCCCAACTGTCCTCCTGGTGAAGAACCTTTTTTTAACATCCAACCTAAATCTCCCCAGACACAAATGTTGTAGGGGTGGTGTTTTTTGAACAGGTGCCTTCTACCTCAGTTCCCTGTGCCCTCCATCCCTGCCAGCTTGCTCTCAGTTTGCTACCACTGCCATGCCCTGTCACAGCTCCATACTCATCACCACCTATCAGCAGAGGGATTTCCTGTGCCAGAATTTAAAATATCTCCTTCTTGGGTTTGGGCTCTGCTCTTGTGCCTCTCCTGCAGCACATCACTTGCTGTTCCCTGGGTGAGTGGACTGGCAGCAGGCAACAGCCCTCACCTTTCTCCCTGGACAGCATCTGCCTGTGAGCTCCCTGCTGCCCATTCCCACAGGGCCAGGGCACAGTACACCGCCTCCACAGATCCCATGACAGCTGGCAGGCATGGTGGGAAGTGAGCTGCATTCTGCCACTCTGTGTAGGTGGTAGGAGTCATGGGGATGACTGTCATATCCCTGAAGAGGACTCCTAACTGAGGTGGCAGCAGTGACATGCTCCAGGGTGAGTTAGCAAAGTCCCTGTGTCCCAACACTCTGCATTTGGGTCTGTGAGTACCTCCTCATGGTCATGGGGTGTGGAAGGCAGCTGGGGGAGGTGTTTGGTGGGAGGTGGAGAAGGGCTTTGGTGGCAGAGGCGGGTCCTGAGGTGCACAGCTTATCAAGGACCTGGTCCCCTGTGGTGGGGAGCCCTGTGGCCATGGAGAGGGACACAAGCCCAGCTCCCTGGGAGTAATTGGCAGTTCTGCTGCACACCCTGCTTTGAAAAACTGTGTCTGAGCTTGGTCATAGGTACGTGGCAAGGAGAGGAGATGCCCCACAAGCTGTGACCATCCTGGGGCTGTTTGGCGTGAGTTGGGAGACTCAGCACCGTGTTCCATGGAAGAGAGGCACCTGGATGGCAGCCATGAGCTGGCACCAAAGCCCCGCAGTCCCGCTGTGGGCAGCGTGGGAGGCAGAGTGCTGGCAGAGCAAGCAGGCAGGAATGCTCCCCCTGCCTGTGCAGAGGCCAGCGAGGCGTGACAGCGTCAGCCGGGCTTATCTCTGCTTTCCCAGAGCAGCTGGTTACTGGAACTGCCTTCACTTACCAGGAAACAGGGCATCTGCTGGGAAGATGGGCTCAAGGTGCGACAGCATCGAGCCCCTGCTGACGCTGAGCTGCTGGCCATCCCTGAGCCTGCAGCTCACAGCTTCCTCTCCGTGCAGCTCTGAGCCTCCTGCTCAGCCCTGATAAACCTGAGACATCCTGGGCCACGTGTTTCCCTGCTGCCTGCCCAGGGAGCCCTCCTGCCCCGCCGTGTGTGGCTCAGGGACCCCAAGAGCTCTCTTTACCACGGGCTGAGGTCTTCCCAGCTCCTGCTGCTGCTGGAGGCAGCCGGCTTGGACAAGCCAGGCCGGAGTGACTGCATTCCTGGCCAAGCCTCGTGCTTGGCCTGCTCTCCTGAAGCCGTGGGAAGGCAGTAGCTTGGCGACCCAATGTCTGCCTTCGCCGCAGGGATTCGTGAAATCCAGCTCGTGTTGTGGAGTAACCTGCGAGGGCCAGGATGTGGGAGTGGGAGGTGGGAGGCTCCACTGTGGACACAAAATCACTGGGGGGATGCACAGTGTGGGCTCCTGCATCCATGGGCACCAGCCCTGCTGCTGCTTCCACAGGCCTTGGCCAGGGAATGGAGCCCAGCGGGTTCCCACTGCCATGATTTCTATCACACTTGGATGCTAATTTTAGAGAGCCAAGAGCACGTGATGCATCCCCTGCCCTGCCCGCGTGGTGTTCTCCTCACAAATCCTTTCTGGCATCCTCTTCTCTCATGACTGTGCTTCTCCCCTTGCCCTGTGTGCATGATTCAGAGCAAGGAAGCACAAGGCATCTGTCATCTGCCCTGTCCCCACCACGGTTTTCCTGCCAGCCCTTCCCTCTGCTCCCCTCACAGCCCTGTGCTCACCACCCTCCTCTTCCCACAGGAGCGCTTTGTGGACCTGTATGGGAACGATGCTGCTGCCGAGGTGAGAAAAGGCCAGGAGACCTTCAACAAATGGCTCCTGACCGGGGCGACGGTGGCCGGAGTGCTTCTGCTGGGATCCCTGCTGAGCCGCAAGTGAGCCGCGAGCGCCGTGCCAGGACGGCTGCGCCTTCACCGCCACATCCACTACACTCCGCTCCCGAGCACCGGCACCGGCCCGGGGCAGCCCCTCCATCCCGCCCAGCGCCCGCTCCACGGAGCTCTCCCCCTCGTGCCGCCAGCTCCTTTTATTGTAGCCTGTCTTATTTACTGTTCCGTTGTGTTTTAAAGGCGCTGAGGCCAATGCAGCACTTCAGCCACCAGCTCCCAGCACTGGGGAGATCCAGGCAGCTGGGGGTGGGGGGGCGCACAGGCTAGAAGGTGTCCCAGCCCTGCAGGGTTCTCCAGATAATTTGGAAGAGAATAAACAGACTTATTTTTGCATGTGTGAGTGCGTGCGTGTGTGTAGATGTGTCACTAATATAAAGTTCCCCAGCCAGAGCAAGGGTCAGGCTCCGTGCCCCCGTCTCTGGCACGCTCAAGCACCAGGAAAAGTCAGGCTGCCCAGCAGGATGGAGCTTCCCTGCAGCATCCCTATCCTGTCCTTGCTTCTCCTTGCTCATCCCTGTGGCAGGGGGAGCAGGAGGAGGAGGCAGAGGCCAGAGGTGAGGGGCTCTGCCCTTGGTCAGAATTCCTTTCTCCCCCCATACTCAGTTGCTGGGAGCTCGGCCTGTCCCAGATGAGGACAGTGTGCCAGGCCCAGGGCTGTGCATGGTTTGAGGGGTTCTTTGTCCTCTTCCTCCTCCTCACTCTAAATGTAGATGGCTGTGGGACAGTGCTCATCCCTTCCCAGCCTGTTCCTCTGGGCTGGCAAAGGAAGGAGGCAGGAGAGGGGGAAAGTGCTAGTCCCTGGCACAAAGGGCTTCGCAGAGAGCTGGGGCTGTGGTGTCCAGGAATCCAGAGCTGGGGATTGGAAGGGTCAGGGGAAGCACCTTCACAGGGGTGGCAAAGCCCAGGGAGCAGCTGATTCATGAGACGAGCAGGGAAGCAAGCCCAGGGGAGATGGAAGTGAGGGCTGGCACTGGCTGAGAGCCATCTCCACCTCTGGGGAGCCTCTTTGGGGACAGTAGGAGCTGTTGGCCTCTCCACTGCTGTTCCCCATGTTCCCAGTCCCGTAGTGCAGGCAGATCCCTGTGCCCGTGCATGGCTGTGATGGCTGCATGCAGTGACTGAGGTGTCTGCCTTCCCTCCCCCTCATTCCCACGCTGCTCCTTGTGCTGCTGGAGCAGGGAACCTCCGGCCTTTGAGCTGAAATTAGCTTCCAGAATAAACGCCCTCGTCCTTCGGAGCCCCCAGCGGGCAGACACAGCTGGCTCAGCTTGTCCGTGTACATACTGCCCGCGCTCTGCTGTACATATACGAGTAGTTTTTAATTCATTTGTGAATACTATTAATGCTATTTTTGTTATCTTGTCTGTCCGTATTTATGTGTGGGACCGTGCTCCCTGCAGAGGCCAAGCTGGGATGGAGGTGAGGGGAGAAGTGGAGGTTCCAGGGGAGCTCACTTGGCCACTGAGCACGGACTCGTGCTCCTCGTGCCGGAGCCTCAGAGCCCGCACGGGGAGCACGAGGATTAGCATTAGCCCATTGAACGCTTCGGTTTGCAGGTGGAGGTGAATCCACAAATAAATTTGTCATTCGAGCTGCTGCTGGTGCTGTGGTCTTTGCAATCGTTGGGAATTTGGGAGACTTTGGACCCATACGAGTTGGGTTCAGTGGGATGGATGGATGGATGGATGGATGGATGGATGGATGGATGGATGGATGGATGGGGATGAGGTCCTCTCCCTGCCCAGGGAAGGGCTGGGGTGATCCAAGGGCAGTTTGCTGTGGTCCAGAGGGATGGGGTGGGGGCACTAAGGGGTGATGGGGACAGGGAGCCCAGGGCAGGCTCTGAGCTGGCTGGGGGTGCTGGTTTTGGGGACATGGGCTCAGCACCCGTTGTCACGTTGGGAGGAGGAGGGCAGGGGTCTCACAACCTCGCTGGGACCCACAGCCCCCCGCATTCCCGGGGCTGCCCTCCAAAGGAGCACCTTCCCTTTGTGGGGGCTCCTTCAGGGCGGTTTGGAGCACACAAACACTCCGCCTTTTCTGGGATGTCACAAGCATGGGGCACGCCGAGCCACCCCACATCCCTGTCACGGCAGGACAGCCTTCCCCAGCCCCCTCCCCTGTCCTCTCGGGGACCCCCGGGGCGGGGGCAGCGGCGGGGCCCGGGCGGGCTCCGTGGCCCGGGGGACGCGGTGGGAGCCGGGACGCGGACACGAGCACCATCCCGTGGGCAGCGGGAGGAGCTGCACGGGGACCACCGTGACCAAGAGAGCCGCGAGCACTGCAGGGAACCCCAGTCCCCGAGGGCCACCAGCCCCGTCCCCACCTGCCCGGAGCCCCCCAGAGGGGCCGGACCCCAGCAGGGCACAGCCGGAGCCCCTGGCAGCAGAGGACACAGCCATGCCCCGTCGTGGGGTCGGGAATGGGACCCTGCCCGGGACACAGGGTGAGGGGGCTCCCCGGGACACCCCAGAGCACGCCGGGCTGGGCTGCGCTCCCGTTTAATCCCCGCCGAGGATGGGCTCGGTGCTCCCGCGGTTGGGCGCTTCGGCAGCCGCGGGGACACGATGGCCACGGGATGGTGACAGGGACAGGGCTGGAGGGCTCCCGGGATGGTGACGGGGACAGGGCTGGAGGGTTCCCGGGATGGTGACAGGGACAGGGCTGGAGGGCTCCCGGGATGGTGACGGGGACAGGGCTGGAGGGCTCCCACGAGGCAGGCGCTCTCACGGCTCGTACTGCAGGTCCGTGGCAATGAGCACGAAGCCCTGGAGGGAGTCAGAGTCAGAGAGGGGGTATGGGGGACATGGGGGACCCTGGGGTAAGGGGACAGGGGTGGCACCCACCTGCTGCAGGGAGAGCCGGGGTCTGAGCAGGCTGAGGCCGTGCGGGAGGGGCAGGGGGATGCCAGCCTGGAGCCACTCTGTGGGGAGACAAAGTCATAGCAGGGATGGCCCTGGTGCAGCTGTGGCAGGATTGGGACAGGACGGGGACAGCACTTACTGTTTGCCCGGGGAACCCCAAAAAGCCACAGCCCGAACTTCAGCAGGGTCTCCAGACGCTTCACCTGTGGGACAGGCAGGTCTGAGCCCGGCTCAGCACAGGCAGAGGGGTCCGTGCTGCAGGCAGGGCTCAGCCCCCCGCCAGGCTTGCCATGCGTGGGGTCCACAGCACCCCAGATTCCCCCCAGGGTGATGTGGAACCCGAGGCTCCCCCTGGATTCCCTGGCACAGCCACTCACCTCCACTGGGCCCACGTTTGATGCCACTTGTGTTATATGGAGCCTGTAGGACAAGATCAGGGTCAGAGCCAGGCACAGGGATGGGAACTGTCCCACCCCAGGGTAGGGACAGGCTGAGCTCCGTGGTGGGACCCCAGCAGAGAGAGTCCAGCTGAGCACCTACTGCCAGGGCAGCTGGCACAGCTATGAACTGGGGGCAGGATGGGGTCTGAGCAGGAAATTCGGGACTCAGGGAGGCAAATGGACAGAGTTGGGGAGTGGGGGAGCTCTCCAGGTATGTCCTGGGGGAGCTCAGACCCAGCTCAGGGTCGGGCACTCACCCTGTCAGTCTCACTGTGCTCCTGGGGGAGCTCAGACCCAGCTCAGGGTCGGGCACTCACCCTGTCAGTCTCACTGTGCCCCCGAGTCTGTTCCCGCTGATTGTCGGCTTCCCCGTCACGTTGGCATCCTGCAGCAGGAGGGGACACTGGAGACACCAGGGCAGTGCTGCCACCCAGCACCACCCAGCTGGCCCCAGTATCCCCCAGCACCACCCAGCTGGTCCCAGTATCCCCCAGCATCCCCCAGCATGGCCAGGAGCACAGGCACAGCAGCCCCAGGCAGGTCCTTTGGGGTGCCCTGGCTCCCTGAGCCGTGGCAGCAGCAGCCACTCACGATGTTCAGCAGGAAGGCAGGGACACGGGTGGCGTTGGGCAGCACCACGAAGGCCTCGGCAGAGCCAAAGAGGGTCCCGTGCAGGGCATCAGGATGGCAGGAGAGCAGGGGCTGCTGGCGGGCCCAGAGGTGCAGCTCCATGGGCTGGTCTGGATAGCGCTCCTGCAGCTGGGAGGGACAGGGCAGGGGTGGCACAGAGCCATGCTGGCCATGTCCCCATCAGGTCCCCACCATTGCCCAGGTCCCGTGTGCCCATCACTGCCCTGCCCATGTCCTTGTCCTGGGTGTTCCCTTCTGCCTGCATCCCATACTGCCTGCAACTCCTCCCATTTCACTGCACCCCATTCCCTGTCCTGTCCCTCGTGCATCCCACTTGACCTCTGTGTCATCCCATGTTCCATCCCACCTGCAACCTTTTCCTCCTGCATCCCATCCCTCACAAGCCCCATCCCTTTCCCATCCCTCCTGCATGCATTACATCTTCTGTTCCTCCTGCAATCCCACCTTGTGTCCCATGCCCCATCCCACCTGCATCCTGTCCTGCTCCATGTCCCACCTGTGTCCCCTTCTCCCCGTGTCCCATCCCACTCACCTGAGGGGCGAACGCCTCCATGCTCTTGGTCCTCAGCTGCAGCGGGAACCGCCGGGGGAGCTGGAAGGCAGGGAGGGATCAGGTGCTGGGGCTGAGCAGGGGTGGCCCTGGGGACACGGCCGTGGGGACAGCTCTGCTCTGCAGCACCCCTACCATGCCACTGGAGATGTTCCTGCGCAGGGCCCCGGCTGTGAAGTAGGTGAAGGCGGCCGAGCTGGCGACGAACTCGGTGACAGCCACCAGCAGCATGGGCTCACGTGCCATGGGCGGTGTCGTGGGCAGGGGCGTGGGCAAAGCCACGGGCAGTGCCACCGGCAGTGCCACGGGCAGTGCCACAGGCAGCACCGCAGGCACTGCTGAGGGTCTCTGTGGGTACGTGCCCACCCTGAAGATCTCTCCCTGCACAGGCACACAGATGGATTGAGGATCAGCCAGGCTCCCCAGTTCCCAAATCTGGCCCAGGAATTCCCAGGATGACATTACCTTGAGGGCAACGTCCCCATACTCCTCTGTGAAGGCTGGCGGTGCCAGCAGGGAGTGGTCGATGGCAGCAATGGTGTCCAGCTGGGTGGACACTGCAGGGACATGGAGGTGGATGGGAGGAGTCAGACCACCACCACCAGCCCCCTCCCACAGCCTGGCTCTGTCAGGACCCAGCCCCACAGTGGGGTCCTGCAGACCCTGCTGGGCACCAGTCCAGCCCACAGCCCCCAGGACCACCCTGCCTGTCCCCAGTCCTGGGGTCCCCTCACCCACCTTTCATGTTCTTGAGGGCAGTGTCCAGCCTGTCAACGCCCCTGTGGAGCACGAGGCAGAGCTGGAAGCAGAGCAGGGTGTCAGCAAGGGATGAGGGTCTGCAAGCCTCTCACTGGCCTGGGGGGCACAGGGACACCGACACCCCGGGGCACAGGGGCCGAGCACCCACCTGCTTGTTCAGCTGCTGCCGCAGGGTTCTCTGGAGCAGAGGGGCCAGCAGGTTGTAGAGCCAGCTGCAGGGCAGAGCAGGGTGCTCAGACCAGCTCATGGCACCCACCCAGCCCCCCCCAGCCCACCTCCCTGGCTGGGGCACCAGCAGTCCAGGGACAGGACAGAGCAGGGGGCTTGGCATCACCTGTATCCACGGTGAAACTCCATGTGCAGGTGGGTGCCGTGGGTGTCACAGCCAGCACTCCAAACCGTGGGGCGGCCGCTGCCGTCCTCGCTCACCCCCAGCACCGCTGCCACGGCCACGTCCTGCATGCGGAGCTCCACGGAGCCACTGTCCTGGCTGGGGACACAGCGGGTGAGCACAGGGACAGCGGGGGCGTGGGGCCACCCCGAGTCCTGTCCCTGTCCCCCGAGGACTCACACGCCTCCCAGCTGGGCGGCCCAGTCGGCGCTGAGCTGGACTCGGGCGCGCTGCACCGTCAGCCTCACCCCCACGTCCTCAGCAAAGCCCAGCGCGGATTCGTTCATCTGCAGCTCGTGGATGTGGATCCTGCACAGCACAGGCAAGCGTGCTTGTGGCTGTGGCACAGACAGGGACGGGGACAGGGACAGGGACCCCGCAGGTGGCTCCTACCGTGGCACAGCGTAGGTGAGAGTTCCCAGGAGTGGGATGTTGTAGGAACCCGTCAGGTTCAGCTCATGCTCCCTCTGCAGCATCAACTGGAGCAGCTCCAGCCCAAAGCGCCGGCCTGGGGCAAAGTGGGAATTTGGGGTGACACCAAGGAAGGGGCTGGGGTACCTGGGGTGTCAGCAGAGTGAGCAGCCAGGACCAGGATGGTTCTTCCATCCCCCATTCCCGGCAGACTTGCCGTCATTCCTGGGGGAACCCACTGGCCCCCTCATTCCCCCTCCTTAGCAGTCTGGGCATCATCCCCCACTGGTCCCCCCATCCCTCGGTGCTCAGGAGCACAGACTCACCAAACTCCAGTGTCCCCTGGGTCAGCCAGACCTTGATGCCAGGATTGGTGGTGGTGGCAGAGGCAGAGGTGGGCAGCAGGAGCATGAGGCAGAGCCATACAGGACCTCGGGGCTGGCGCTGGGACCTGGGGGCTGGAGCAGAGGACATGTCTGGGGGACACGCAGCAGGTGTAGAGACCCCCTCCCTGTGCCCCAGCACAGCCAGGACTTATATCGGGGACAGGGAGCCCCGGGTGACATCAGCACACACGGGGACACCGCAGTGCCGCGGCCACCGAAAGCCCAGCCTTGCCCAACGCCTGACTGAAAGGGGAAGCCCCATCGTGGGAGCGGGGGAATGCAGGGTCCCACACCAGCCCTGCCAGCCCCCACACGAGCCAGGGACACCAGCTGGGGCTCCCCACAGGGACACGGGACATGTGGGGACACACAGAGACCCAGCTGGGCCAAGGCCACCAAGAGCTTCAGCTGTGCCCTGCCTGGGGGCGACGGGGAGTGGGGACAGGGACACGGTGAGCAGCTCCTGGGGCAGGGCCTGCCCCGGGGCAAACAGGGCTCTGCCCATTGCAGCGGGGGGCAGCGGCTGCTCCCACTTTGGGAGGGGCTCTGGGAACCCTGTGTTCATTCCAGGGGGGATCAGGGTGTCCGGGCTGCCCCCAGGGAAGTGAGGGAAAAGCTGGGACAGTCAGAGCGAGAGCAGAACTGTGCAATCCCCTCTGAAAACCCAGCTGTGGGGAAGGAGCCACCATCAGCAGGACTGTCCCCCATCCACTGAGCCCCTGCAGTGCCGTGGATATGACAGGGGTCCAGCTGCCCTCCTGGATCCAGCTGGCACACCCAGGGGTACCTCCAGGAGGGCCAGGGCCTCATCTCAGCACCACGGGGGCACACAGAGCCCACGGGCAGCCTCGCCAGAGGGACACAGCCCACATAATGCACCTCATGGAGGCCTTGAGAGCAGCTGCCCGCTGGCCTGGGATGCCCAGTGCCCCCAGCCATGGCTGCAGGGGTGGCCGGTGCCCCCAGCAGTGCCCCAGAGCTGACCCTGACCCCCGGCCCAATGCCCAGCACAGCCCCTCTGCCCCAGGGTGCCCCTGCCCTGCACCCACTCACCGTGCCGGGTGGGTGCAGTGCCCTGCACCGCGGGGGCCGCAGCTCCTGCCATGCTCCCGGCTCCTCCGTGTCCCTGTCCCGGGGCTGTACGTGGCAGGGAACAGCAGGGACCAGCTCTGACGCCAGTGTCCATCCCGGGTCCTGGTCACACCACAGCGTCACCCATTTCCCCCGTCCCTAATCCCTTCCGGGATGAATCAGGTCCCAGGAAAACATCGAGGGACCGGTTGGGGCGCAGGTGCCCGCGGGCTGGGCGCTGCCTCGGGCTCTGCGGCGCATCCTGGAGCTGCCGCATCCGGCATCCCGACACGTGCGGGCGGCCGAGCCCGGGCTGGCCCCGCAGCCCCTGCCCCTGCCCTCCCGGGCCAGGTACAGGAGCTCGGTCCTGGGGCAGGGGTCAGGCAGGGACGTGGGGACACACACGGACACACACGGAGCCCTGTCCCCACCGCTCCAGCGGAGGAAACAGGTAACGACGGCACCAGGGAAGGCAGCACGGGAAGAGCCCCCAGTCCCGGTTCTCCCTGTCCCGGGACCTTCCAGGCTCCTCCAGGAGGGCGGCCCGAGCCGTGCAGTGCGAGCGGGCACCGGGAGAGGGACCCACCGCCCCGTCCGCGCCGCGCTCCGGGCCGGGAGGGAGGCGGGCGGCGGAGCAGACACCGGTGGGGACGATGGAGGGACCTGGGGGGTGATGGAAGGAACACATCCAAGGGTGGACGAGGTCACCCACAGAGACCCAGAGCCCCTGGGCCCCCTCCGTGTCCCCTGCTGCTGTGTCACAGCCAGGACAGGGGGGGACAGGCGAGGCAGTGTGCTGATAGCCCAAGTCGCCTGTCCCCTGCCCGGGGATCTGCGGGGCTGGGAAAGCACGAGTGGGCACACGGACACACATGGACACGGCTGTGAGCACACAAACACACGCAGAGTGTGTGCACAGCCTCACACATGCACACACTGCTGCTCAAGCCCTTCCAGCCCCAAATCCCCTGGCTGCGGGGCCCTGGGGAGGGGGGACACCTAAAGGGTCCCACCAGAGCCACAAGAGCCCCTCCAGGCACCCCAACTGTCCCTGCCAGGCCCACAGGGAGGCTGAACAGATCTGGAACAGATCTGAGAGATCCTTGGGGTGTTTGTGAGTCACAGGGAAGCTCAGGCAAGGACAGCTGCCCGGGGCACCCCCAGCCCTCGGGGTTGCACAAGCCCTGATGCAATTTCCTTGTCCCCAGCGGTTGTCTGTCCCCACAGGCAGGGGTTGCACCAGGAAGAGCAGGAACCACAGGGGCAGGGCCACGGAGAGAAGCACCCCAGGATTTGTATCCGCTCTCCCTGCACAGGGATCAATCCCTGCATCATCACCCCTGCAATCCCCCAGCCCTGACACAGCAACAACCGTGGGAGCCTCGGAAAGGCTGCTGGGTACAGGTGGCCCCGCTGGGCAGGGGAGTGAAGGGAATTCCAGGCTGTGAACACACCACTGTCCAGGGGGATGGGGAAACCACGCTCCCATCCGGGCACAGGAGCCCACAGCTGGCTCACAGCACTGTCCCCTCTGTGTCACCATCCCACCAAGGGGCCCAATCACGGGCAGATGCATCCCAGTGATACAGTATTATCCCACCACGGAAGATACAGCGTGAACAATCTTCCCTCCTGTGCCTGACCCTCAACACCCCACGTCTGAGCCCAGGGAGTGAAAACCCTCGGAAACCACTGGGAGAGGCTTGTGGGGGCAATGCTGGGACACAGGGAACTGGGACCAGCCTGTGAGAAACCCCTTCCTCAGCACCACCACAGGGTGCCAGACCTGTGCCCCCAACACACCCACCCAGCCCACAGCGGTCTGCACAAGTTGCCCCCCATTAAATGGGGCAAAAATCCCCGGAGTGAAACACACCCAAAACCCACGGGAGGGGGTGTGAGGAGCAGCAAGAAAACGCACGTGTGGTCATCAGGGCTTGTTTAATAACAAAACTCCAGCTATTGTAGAACAATATTCTCCAGCATCATTGTAATATACAATACGGGGAATGCTCTCAGCAATCTGAGAAGGAAGGATCCGGCCCACAGCACCCCCTGCCCAGGCTGCGGGGCACCCCGGGGATGCAGGTGAGCCGCGGTGCTCGGGGACGGGGTCCCGGGGACGATGTCCGCGGTGGGACCGGGATCCCGGGGATGATGTCCGTGGAAGGTCCAGAGCGGTCTCAGCGGCAGAGGATCCGATCGGCAGCGGGAATGCACGGAGCCTGCGGGAAAGGGACACGAAGCGGCCGGTCAGTACTTGCCAGGAGGGTGCCGGAGATGGAAAGGGGACAGGAGGAAGGGACGCCCCCGGAAAGGAGAGGGCGCGATCGGGGAAAGGCGATTCCAAGGAGCGCCGGTGCTGCCCGCAAGGAGCGCGGCTCCGAGCGGTGCCGCGGGTCCGCACTCACCTCGGGGGAGTCCGCAGCCGCGGCGGGGCGCGGGGGGCCGCACTGCAGCTCCAGCTGCAGGTCCCAGATGTAGTCGATAACGTGCTGCAGCAGCTCCACCTTGGAGACCCGCCGGTGCCGCGGCAGCGTGGGCACCAGCGCCCGTAGCCGCGAGTAGCAGCCCTTCATATCGTACAGCAGCGCGGCGGCCGCCTGCTCCGCCGCCACCGGGGACACCCCCGGGCCCGGCCCGCAGCGGGCGGCCTCCCCGGGCCGCACGGCTTTCAGCGGGCCGCCGGCACCCGCGGGCAGCGGCGAAGAAGCGACAGCGGCGACCTTCATGGCGAGAGGCTGAGCGAGGAGCGCGGACACGGCGAGCGGACACGGAGCCCGCGCCCCGCAGCGACACTTATAGAGCGCCAGGGACGGGAGGGCGGGGCCTAGGGGACCATCGACCAATAGCAGCGCAGGAAAACCGAGCGCAGCTCCGCCCACCCCATTCATGCGCCCCAAAGGACCGCGTCTTAAAGGGGCAATGGCGGAGACAGCGCCGTGACGGGCCGGGGCCGCGGGGCAGGGAGCCGGCGGTGCGGAGGCTGCAGCGGTGCGGGGAGCCCGCCATGCCCGCAGCGAACGCGGGTGCTTGCCCCGCGGGCTGCCGGTGTCGGGCTGCCCGCAGCCCCGCTCGCCCCTTGTCCCCTCCAGGCCCCCGGTGCCCCTGCGGCGCTCGGCCCCCCCGCACTCCCCGCGCCCCCCCGCTCCGCGGCGGCTCAGACCGTGAGACGCCAGGGTCGTGACGTCACCCATTCATAAAACCCCGCGCGCTGTCAGCGCGGCGCCGGGCGGGCGGTGCCCATGGCGACGGGGGCGGGGCGGGGACGCACACCTGCAGCCCCTACGGGGGGCACCGGGACCCCCGCGGAGACACCGCCATCCTCTCGTGCATACGGGGCCACCGGGAATCAGGAATCACAGGAACCCCCGGGGACATCTGCACCCACACGGGACACCGGGGTCCCACGGTGGCACGGAGCACGGGCATCCCACAGGGCACAGCTCCGCGCCCCCCGCCCCAAGTTCGGAGTTCTCCGTTCCCCCTCTCCCCCGGGGCTCAAACAGAGCTGCTCGGTGGCGGCGGCCGGGGCGGGGGCGCCGGGTTCGGGTCCCCCCGAGGGACGGACGGAGGGGTCGAGCGCTGGGTGCGGGGGGCGGCGCGGGGAGGGGGCTGCGAGCACGGTCCTGCCGCGGGGGAAACCCGTGGAGGTCCCGCCAGTGTGCGAGGCAGCCGGTCCTTGCCCCGAAGGGTTTCTGGTCCGGGCTGTAATTAGCGTTACTGCTAATTACCCCGCACCTGCGGGGAGGGCAGGCAGCGCCCGGGGAGGGCCCCCGAGCGAGACCCCGGCACACCCCGAGCAGAAAGGGTGTGAGAAGGGAGGGAGGCAGGCAGAGCTGCAGCCCCAGACACTCCCGGGTGTGGGTGCAGACACAGACACGCAGGGCGGGCGTGCATGTGCACACACAGGCGTGGACACAGACGTCTGCTTGCACACACAGTGTGTGTGGGACATACCCAAAAATGTGCACAGGAGCATTCACACGCACACACAAACCCGTGGAGATCAAACCTAGCCACAAGCACACGCACACAACAGAGGCACACACGGATGGAGCACATACAGGTATGCACACACACGTGTACACGCTCATGCACACACACACCCTGCCTTGCACACCAACACGTGTGCCCAAGTGCCAGCACAGCTCTCCCAGCCCTTTATGGGGTTGGGCTGGGGGGTCAGACCCTGCCGCACGTCCCCAGGCACTCAGGGAGCTGAAGGCCTCCCCCTCTTCTTCCTCTTCTGGGGAGGGCAGCAAGCCTGGAGAGCATGCATGAACTCCAGCCCTGCCAGCCTGGCTGGGGGGAGCTGGGTCCCCCTGTCCCTCCCTCTGTCCCTCCTCCCTGTGTCCCCAGCCTGGTGCGGTGGCGGTTCCCAGGGTGGGCACGGCGCTGGGGTCGCCCCCTCCATTCAGGGCTCGGCGGAGGGCCCGGTGCTGCCCGGTTCCCACCGCGGCTCTCAAAGCTGCTAATTAGCCCCCATCTGGCGGCAGTGGCCGGGCCGCGGCGGGAGGCCGGGGACATTGTGCACAGGAATGTCTTTCAGGGCCGCCGGCCGGCCGCCGCCACCGCCAGCTGCGCCGCCAACAATGCCAGGACGAGCCGGACCCCGGCCCTGCCACCGGCCACCCGAGCGGCGCGGGGACGCGCAGGGATGCCGTGTCCGTGGTGTGTGCCACGGCACACATGGCACACATGGCACAGCCGCCCTGGCACAGCTGCCCCGGCCCATCGGATGCCCCCGAGAGCAGGACACGCTCAGCCCATCCCTCTGCACGTTGGGGTGCCGGGGATGGGGTGCTGGGTCAGCGCTGCCAGTGTGGCACCGGGACGCGCCTTGGGCACAGCTGGCCGCGGGGTCCTGGCCTGGCACGGCGGCGCAGCGGTGCTGGTGTTGTCCGGCAGAACACAGAGCTTCATTTCCATCTCAATTCTGGGAACGGGGCTCGCGGCGCGGTAACAGCAGCCCCGGCCATATGGTGCTGGCGGGGCTCAGCCCGGCCGGGGGGGCGGCCGGGGGGCGGCTGCTTTGCGCTGAGCAGGGGTTGCCCGGCAGCCGAGCACATCAAAGCCCCCGGCCGCCCCCGCCCCGCCGGGACCACACAGGGCACG